TTTGTTGTCTCCTTTAATCATGCTGCACATGCCAAGATTGCCTCCTCATTGCTCATAGATCATACCAGGCATTGTCTTACCTTAGGGCCTTTGCACTTCCTGGAAGGTATGACTCTGCTCCTCACCTCCTTCAGCCTTCTGCCAAAATGTCATCTCTGTGAGCCTTACCTCACCACATCTTTTCTAGTAGTGTTTAGCCCCCTTTTTGTCTTATTTCTCTCCATAATGTCTAAGTCCTTCTAAAGTGCTACATAATGTATAAGATTATGGGCCCCCTCAACGAAGAATGGACTGCTTTACTTGTTTTAGAATGAATGAATAAGTCTCTGTTTTAGCTTGTGTATAGATGTCCTCCCAAAGCCTGATGCTTTCTCAGGGGTAGCTGAATCTAGAGTGTGTGGTTGATTCATGGTAGAGCTAGGCCTGAGGATGCTAAGATTAAGGGTATGCTACCCACCCTAGGTAGTCTGAATAAGATAAAGGGGACAGAAAGACACTGTTAAGCCCCCTTGAGGTTTTTTGCTACCTTGTGGCCACCATGAACTGTTTCTCCTCTGCAACACCCCTCTGCCATGTGCCACTCTGCCTTGGAGCCAGCTGATTATGGACTAAAACCTCTACAAACTGTGAGCAAATCGAACTCTTTTCCCTTTGAGTGTCAGGTATTTTGTCTCAGCAAGGAGAGAAAAGTAACTAAAACAGTCTCCAAAGGTGAACAAAGAGATGTTTGCTGTAGACCAGAATGGTTTCCAAAAGCTCATGCTGTCTTGAATCAAGACTCATGCCTGCTTCCATTTCTAAACAAGCTGAAATCAATAATCATTGCTCCAGAAAAATACTTAACAAAAATAGTAATAGGGCCAATTAATTAACAGTAGAATTATGGGAGACTTTTGTTATCTTTGCCATGTTTTCAAAAGTTTATACAATAAATACATCACCCTATTCCTATATATTCAAAGCATATACCCAAAGATTGTTAATGAAAAAATAAAACTTTTTATTCTTAAAATAATAATTGTTGCTCTTGCATGGGGAAAATTTGGAACTTGTTCTCTCACTTGATCCAGTTCTGTAATTAAAGAAGGTATGCAAAAAGAAGGTATATCACTTTTCTGCATGGCCAGTGTGCAGCGTTGGGTTTTTGTTGTTGTTGTTTTGTTTCATTTTCTGGTGACAAGAGAATTAAAATAATGAAACAGATTGGTAAACTGAGCTTTGACAAATTATTTATTTGGCATTTTAGATGTGGCCTCAAATGTCCCAAGTACAATATACATATATCAAATATATCTTAACTAATTTAATAGATACAACAATTTAATGACACAAATACAACTATTAGGTCCTAATTTCCACATGAAAATAATAAAAAAACAGATCATTAAATAATTTTCACAATATACCCACCTTAGAAAGATCAGCTGGGATTTGAAGCTGTATAACGTGTTTTTATGGCTCATATTTCTACCCACTACCTCTCAACAATAACAGGCTAAAAGATAATTTTTTAAATTATGAAAATTTTAGCTCATTAGCACCAAAACAGAGAAAGCCAGTAGAGAAAGTTAAGAGAAGAAAGTAGATAAAGCAAAAACTACAAAAAAATTTTGGAAAGGAATTTGGGTGTAATTTTACTCTTGGAAAAGAAAAGAGACATTTTTAATTAAAATAGAAGGAAAGGCATGCTGGGATGAAGATCAAGGAAAGTACAGTTGCTCACACCCAAGTATGAGAGGAGACATCGTTGGCTGGCCAATGGACGCAGGACAGAAGCCAGAGAAGTGTAGAAAGTGCTTGAAATATCTCCTGTGGAAAACTCTACAGGGTCCCCAAAGAGCAAAATCGGAGGACAACTCAGAGCCCAGCTGGGGCCAGGTTGCTCAGATTTATAACTAGCAAACAATTAGTGTATTCTGACTCTGGTAAAATACTCCAAACATAAATCAATTATGTATTCATTAAGGCAATTGCTCTAGTGGCCTCAAAATCAATTTCAGCTATCATAATTCAGAAATTACAAACCATATCCCTTTTTCAAAGACTCTAAGCATCTTCATTATCACTAATTCACACTTCTCTTCTTTCCAATCAGTCTAAATCTTTGATATTTTCTCTGTGAGCTCCAGATATATTGTGATATATATTGTGATATATTTCATCTGTAAGATCCAGGTTTGTTCAGATTTTGATACCTCAACATCAGGTTACATTTTTATACTAGATGATAATATTGGGGGCATTTTTCCCTAGGGAAAAATAAAATAATGATGCATCTGACAATCTTTGGCATCTTAGATTAACTGAATCATATTATTTACTTTGCTTTCAATTAATATGAACTCTTCCAAGCCAAGGGAAGACTAGACATTTCACTTCAACCTTATTTAAATTTCCTGTAGCTTCTCACCTGGCCAAACACATTCAACATGTTTTTTATACTCATGCCAGTCCTAGGAGATAGATGCTTATCACTTCCTTCAGAGAAGTTAACTGCTATGCAAGGCCACTGACTCACAAGCCAGCAGTGTGGCTCAGGCCTTTGAGTATCCATCTCTGCTCCTTTGCCCCCCACTATGATTACTCCCAGACTTTTGTTCTGAATATCATTTTTGATACCCTATATTTTAACTAAAGTCTAAAAACTATCCATATGCTTTGGTTGCAACTGACAGCTCCTCACTCACAATGTAGAAAAGAGTCATATGTAAGGATCTTGTACAACATCACCCTTTTACTCACAAACAGTAAAAGACATAAGAACTAACTACAAAACCACTTCCCATCTTTCTAACTGCTGTTTAATTTTTAAGCCACAGGCACAATCAAAATTCTAGGGTCTTTATGCTGCTATAGAGAAGCCTCCTTGTGTATGAGAAAGTAATTTTTTTGGTACCGGGGATCGAACTCAGGACCTTGCACTGGCCAAGCAGGCAGCGGAACCACTGAGCTAAATCCCCGGCCCTGAGAAAGTAATTTTTTAAAAGAAGGCATGCTGGAAAACTACTCAGCAGAATTGGGGCAATACTTTGAGCTGATGAAATGAATAAAGATAGCCAAGGACAGTAAACAGCCAAGGAAGAGCAAGATTCCCTTGAAGACTACCAGAAAGACAGTGAAATGCAACATAAAATCTGTTATTTACTGAGAATTCAGTTAAATCTGTCACCTGGTCAATAAAGTTATAATAACCAACACTTCTCAGGCACCACAAAGTAAGACCTGCCTAACACTACCCACAGAATTATCTTACATTACTTTACAGAGGATGATAAACTCCCCTCAGATAACCATAAAGCCAAGACAATTTGGATGGTCCTGCCAAAAAAAAATTTAAAAATAAAAAAGGAGTAGAACTACCAAATTAGCACTCTGGTTGAAGAACTAGAATTTATGTTGAAATTTGATAACTAAAACTAATGGACTTTGAGAGCCAGGTATGGCGGCATATGCTTGTAGCTCTGGTTACTTGGGAGGCTGAGACAGGAGAGTGGCTTGACCCCAGAAGTTTGAGGGCATGCTGGGCAGGAAAGTGAGATCCTGTCTCCAAAGGAGAAGGAAGAGGAGGAGGAAAAAACAAGTGGATTTAAAGCTTCAGGGTTAGTAGGGTGTAGTTAGGATGGGGATCTGACTGAATCCAAACAGAGAAAAGCCTATAGGGGATGCTAGAAAGACAGAATAGAAAGTGAATTTCTAAATAGAATACACTCAGTCATGTGGAGATTTAATCAGATGCTATTACAGTCTCATCTTCTCCCACACAAGAGTATATTGCTAAGAGATAGTAAATAAAACAGGGTAGCACCATGGCAGGAAACTAAGCAACAGAGACAGGATAAGATAGTTTAACCAAGTCAATGGAGGTGGGATGAATTAGTGAATAAGAGGTGGTGGAGCACTTGGCCAGCACTTTGGAAAACCAGGTAAAATTGGATCATTCTTCTCTCTTTCCTTGAAACAAAATATAATCCAAGTGAATCTAAAATCAAAAATGCAAACATTTAAATCACAAGAATAATAGGAAAATACATGGGAACGTTTTTCTACAGTCTCAGAAAAGAAGACTTTCTAATAATAATCAAAAAACAAGGCAAATATCCATATAGAAAATAACCAGAACTTTTAAATCCACAGGCCCATAAGATTTCTATGTGGCAAAACATCTCCACCAACCAGGTTGAAGGTTCAATGACAACAAACAAAAGTAATATTTTTAAATATGTTTCCCATAAACCAAAATACTTATTTTTTAAAAACTTCCTATGCCATGATTGAGTTGAGTGCCCTCAGAAGTCCACAGGTAAAGGCCCAGTCCCTGGGATAGCAGTATTAACAGGTGCCGTGGACCTTTAAGAGATGAAGCTTAGCTGGAGCTCCCTGGATCACTGGAGCTGTACCCTTACAAGGGGCCTGTTCTCTCTCTCTCTCTCTCTCTCTCTCTCTCTCTCTCTCTCTCTCTCTCTCCTGGCTACACTGGGATCACAGACTCTGACATGTGCTCCTACTAGCACCAGCTCCTGCCCCTATCAGAGCACAAATGAGGGGCTGCCGGGTCTTGGATTGACAACTCCAAATGGTGAGTGAAATGAACCATGTCTCTTTATAAGTTAATTGTCTTAGGTATTTCATTGTAATAATGCCAAGATACCTAATACATCCTATAAACCAAAGATACTTCAAATTTAAAAAGAAAGGCAATAGGCAATAAAAGACAAAAACAAAAACAAACGACTGTGTGAAGGCTTTTATTTGGGTGATGAAAACGTCTCAAACTGATTTATGATCACAATTGCACTACTTGGTTATTTGCTTTTAAAAGTCCCTGATTGATGGATGAATTATATGAGATGGTAAATAGACCTTAATAAATGTCACTAATAAATCCACAATAAACACTCAAATAGGTGTTCTTCCTTAATATTCAAAGAAATGCTAACGATGTCTCTTGGAATGGCTTCAAAGACATCACATTGTCCTGATTTTCTTCCTATCTCTCCAAGAGCTCCTCGGTACCCTTTACTCCTAGAGATGGCCATTCCCTGGGGTCCTCTACTGGCCCTTCTTCTCCTTCTAGGAGTTGTCACCTGTAAAGAAGGCTTTGGGCCAAACAAGGCAACAACATTACAGTCCTCTTTTGTAAGTACCACAATTTTATATTCAACTTTCTCCTTGATTTCTCCACTTGGCATATCAAGAGGAAAACTCTCCCAACCCATTCCTACCCTGCCCACAGTTCTCATCTAGAACTCCCCTCTTCTGTCACTACTGTCCCTCACACCCACCCCTTGCTCATACTTTAACTCAGATTCACCCCTGGTATTGCGCTTTTTTATATCCCTCATTCCGTGTGTTCCCTCTTCCTATCAGATCTATGTTTAAAAAAATCTGAAAGTATCTTTTGATTGCATTTACTTCTCAACAACTCAACAGTGTCCTTGGGCTGGAGATTTAGCTCAGTGATTCTGACACGTGCCTCACAAGCAGAAGGACCTGAGTTCAATCCCCAGTACCAAAAAAAAAAAAACAAAGCAGTGTCCCTGTTGTTCTAACCATCATGATTTCCCATTGAACAGTCCCAAGAGCCTCCTAGCTGGTTTCCCGCTCTACTCTTAGGCCTCTCTCCTCCATTCTCCCAAACTTTTGTTAATTCAAATAGGCTACTGTGGCAGACAGCAAGAGGTACCACTGGGATTACACTTCAAGAAGACTTGTGTCCAGACGCTGGGAGGAACATCAGCCCCTTCATCACTGTCTTACCAGCAAAGAACCACCTTGCCCAGGTCCATTCCACCCCAGGGAGGCCCACATGGAATGACTGTTCAATGTGTAGGTGAGAGGCTTATCTCAGCCCTCCTAGGAACAACTATGAAGAGCCATGCTGGTTCTCCTGGTCCCTGTGTGTCACCCAAGGCTGTCGCTGGGCTTCCACCCCAGATCACCTTCTCCCTCGGCCCAGCCCATTTTCCTTCTCTGCTTTCCACCAGTGTCAATCCAAGGGGACTGGTCAATAAACATCCTTCTCACTGACTGAGTCTCAGGTTGCATCCTTTCAAATGCCTCCTGTAACAGCCCTTTGCTTCCCTGCAAGAAACCCTGCAGTGAGTAACATTACCTGCGTGGGCCCCACTGATCCAGGCAGATTCTTCTCTTGCTCTCCTCCTGCCTTAGACTTCTGCATCTGTCTTCAGATATGCCGAACTCCTGTGGGCCTCAGAATTATTGCACTTGGCAGAGCCAAAATAAGGTTTCATTCTGATGATGATGGTGTTATCCCAGTGACTGCAGACTATGGGATACCAATCACTCAGAGGTAACACATTTCTTTAATTTATAAGCCTCTTATATGAATGTTTCTGTTGTAGGAAGCCTAATGTTCTCTATAGCATCTGGCACACAATGAATAAGATGTGTATGAATTAGGTTACTTGGCAATAAATACTCTACTGTATGACCAATCAGTTTCAACAAAGGCATCTTCAAAATGCCTCTTCTACTATAACCAAGGCCAAACCCCAGTGGAGAGAGGGGAACGATGGAAGAGAATTGATGTATACAACTTACAAGCAGGTTGAGATCAGAAATTCTTTCAAGTCAAACTAAAGCACAGGCTCAGCCGTGACTCATATTGAAGGTATCCCAGGAAGTAGCAACAGGCACACTAGGCTCTCCTTTCAATTCCTGTTTATCACATCTCAGAAACCGAGGATTACCTTTTTTCTAACTATCCATGGTATATCCTTTCTCTCTAATTCCCCAAATGCCGGGTTTCTTTCCACTCAGGATCTCTATCAACAAACAATCCCTCAACTCCCTCTTATTTGTAATTAAGATGGACTATACATTCCCAAAGTTGGCATTTGTGGCCTCTTTCAAAAGAATGCCTTTCTTTTTAAGGCATCAGGAAAGTAAGTAGAGTAATTTAAATAAACTAAAAATTCTAGAAAAATAAATAATCCATTTGCACTCAAAAACTACCAAGACCATACAGGCGAGACAATTTCTCCTTAATTGCTAGTACTGTGTTTGCCTTTGGGTTTCAGTATTGATAAATAACCAGATAGCTCAGATTTTTACATCATTATTAAACAGCTCTTAAGGATATGAGGACCCTGAACCAAAAAACAGGTAATAGAAGTTGGTGGGGGAAAAGGGGTAACATCACCCACCCATAAACAAGCCACAAACTTAATTAGCACCATTACTTAAGTCCAAGCACCCAGGTTCTTGTTTTAAAGAGACCTACTCAGAATATTTTTATGACTAACCTAATGTTTGTGACTGAAGATTAAAAACTAAATATTATTTGACAAGTTTTTATATGACGACATAAAGAGGGCTAGAGTCTGCTGTTGACTCAGACGTTCCTGCCAACCTCATTTGCCTGCCAAAATATAGCTTCCATAAGCACACATAAATTTTATTTTTAATAAATAACCACAGAATGGTTTCATAAACAGACTAGACTGTGGAGAATTGTAGCTCACAATGAGTGTGTGTTACAGTTTCAGTAAATAGAAGCTCCACAGTCCACGGCTGGCACGCTGACCCCGTTGTATGGATTGCTGTCAGCACCACTCTGTCAGGTCACCCTGGTGATTTTCTTGGTCGCAGGCCTCTGAGCTAACTCCTTGGGCTCCTGCCTTCTTGCAGCAGTTCCCTTGTTTGTCTAAGCACACATCAGGTTTCAGAGTCCTGGGAATTTAAAAGGATAGCTGAGGTCTCTACTTGGTGTCCCAAAAGGGTCTTTGTGATGAGAAAAAGTCTTTAAGCCCTAACCAACATGTAGACACCTAGGGTGGTTTAAGGCGAATAAATAAAGGGCATTTGGGAGGAATTAATACTAATGTGATGAGAATAAGCTGTTCTCTCTAGCTAACTTTTCTTGGAATGTACATGTTCCTTCTACTCAAAGGATCTTTTTGGAAGAGGACATGGCTTTTTTTCCTCTGTTGGCAAACTTTCTTTTCTTTTTCTTTTTTTTTCCTCTCCCTTTTTTTTGTTAAATAAATCAACCGATTCCTTAAGAAAAAAGCAGCTTATTGAAACCTTAATGAGTTTTTTCTCCTTTAGAAATCAGCTTTATTTTTAAGCTCTCCTAACCTGACTTGTGCTCGGGCAGATTTCCCTGCCACTCGTGGAAAAGGCTTCCGTCTCCCTAATACATCCAGCCCCCAACCCTCAAATTCTCCTTCACTTCATACTGACCCTGGGGACTTCAGGGGGGTTTTTTAATGTTTTTTGTTTCCTTTTAAAGAGGAGGCGAGAGCTAAAGATGAGGAGCACTTTATCTCTAGTGAAAACAGACCCTTTGGTGGAAAGAAGTGATGACTGATCAAACAGCATTCAGAATTCCAGGCATGCCAAGATATCCCTGGGTTAGACGGTAGGGATGACTCAAAGACTCTGTGCTGTTGGAAAATAAATAAAATGACTCTGACAACACGCTCCACATTCCTACTTGAGCTTGGCCACTTACATGTTTTACATTCTACCTGTGGTGACCTTTCCCTCATTTCTTAGCTCCCAGTGGAATTCACGGAGCCAGAATTGACTGAGAACTTCTTATGGGACGCATTCCCTAGGACTGACCAGCCAGGGCCTGTGGTGAGCGAGAGGACAGAAAGTGGCCAGCCCCAGGGCTCAAGATAGAGCATAGCTATGGCTGCAGAGCCTCGTGAGTGCAGGGAAAGAGTGAGTCACTCACGCTGCCTGCTGGAGGTTGGCCTCCACCGGGAGGAATGCCTGTGGTATTCTGTGACCTATGAAACACTGGCAGCCTGCAGAGCTGTCTCACAGTTCTGTTTTGCTCTACAGCACTACCAAGGTTAACTTTCGCATCTTACCCTCAGTCTTCCCCCAAGCCTTCACTTTAGCATTCTATGCATCGCCCCCACAATATTGCTGGAAGCAAACCCTCCCTGATTCCAGGTAGCCAGTTTGTCTCTTCCTTACTCCAAATTAAATTTAATTCTCTCTATTTCTCATTAAGTAGCAAGTATAGAAATCTATGAAGGATGCAGAAATACAAAATCTAACCTCAGAAAGCATGTAACCAAGCATTAGCCAAGTTAGACCTGTAAAAAGTTAATTAGGGAAAAAAGACCGTAAAAAAAATTTCGCAGGCAAATACAGTGAGCACTGAGACAAAGTAGTGAGAAGTCTGGGGTTGGTGGGATTGTAGTTTCCACAGAGGTTCTGCCATGGAAGCTGAAATAAGATGCATAGACGCATTTTTTAGAATTCCAAGGAATAGCTTTCATAATGGGCTAGAGAGTCAAGGACGGGAGTCAAGAGAGTTAGTACCTGAGTGTGGCATAGAGAACTCTAAGAAAAGCTGGAAAGGTTGTTTTGGGCCAAGTCAAACTCAAATCTAAAATAAAAGCCACTCTGTGGGTAATAGGGAGCATTTCAAGTATTTCAGGAAAATAAAATGACAAACATCGACCCGTATGTAGAATAACTCTAGCAATGAGAAAAATTGGTTAGAAAAGACGAAGTTAGGAGGTAGAACTAAACTATGTTAGTGCTCAGCTTACAGTGACACTAAAAGATTGTGTAATAAGAGGTCCCAGAGAAGCCAAAATAAATGTTTTCCCATTGCAGACAAAACATCACTCTCATATTTGCATCTCCCTACCACCTTTCCATTTCTACACGTCCAAAAAGAGACCAAAGGAATCAGATGTGACAGAATGAAATGCCCACAGCTCAATCCAATAGAACGTACTACAATGAGGAATTTGGAGCACTTGATATGGGACCTTTGTCACTGAACCACTAAGTTTTTAATTTTTGCTTAGTTTTAATTAATTTTAATTTATATTGTTCCATGTGGGTAATGCTACCACAATGGACAGTGCAGCTCTGGAGAATAAAACTTTACTTCATGATTCAGGAGATTCAAAGCATTTCTGAGAAATAAACATTATTCTTCTACCAATCCTCAGAAGTCAGTGGCTTTGCTGGATTGTGAGTGTGGTGTCTATTTATCTACCAAAATCCCCAGGTTAACATAGATAGGAAGATGTAGTGCTCACATTCAGTTCAGGGAAGAACAAACTTGGAGAATTTTTTCTCTTCCGAAAAGGATTTCTTTGAGTTATTCAGAAAGATGATCTTATCTCCAGGTCTACTCAAAAAAACTTATCAATGATCAATGAGTCCATGGAGGTCGGTAAGAAATTAGTTCTTTCTGACATGAGAGACAGAAGGATCTTTTCCTGGCTCTTCATTTTCCAGTGAAATTTTCGTGGTGAGTCATTGCCCCTTTGTAAAAGAACCCCAGTGGGATGACCATGATGTGTTGTTAACTATTTTCATAAGTTGATCTGTGGGAACTTTCTAGATCATATAAATCATCTTGCTTAATATTTTTCTTTTGTGAGTTTTGAGTCAAGAATTATAATCAGTTCCTAAGACGGTTGTGCAGGTGTTATTTCAAGAACACTCTTTTGCAATTTTCTTGGAAATTGGTTCCCTGGAAATTGGTGACTTAGAAGGACAAAAAGACGGGTATGGCATGAATTCAGATGCAATACATATCACGCCCACTGCTCAGCCATGGGTGCCCTCAGATCTGGGCACATGGCCTTTTGGACACTTCACTCCTTAGAATCTCTTATAGGATAAGAGTGGGCCAAATAAAACCACAACTAGGTAACTTACTTGCAAATCTCTCTCAAAGTAAACAAGAGAAACACTGGAAGAAATTTAGCAATTAGAAGCCATGGAAATAACATTTAATTAATACATTGGTTATTTCTAGTGGATCATATGTTTAGAAAATGGCTATAATAAGAGGAAATTCTGATAATCGTTTAAAACAAAATGGATTGTCTTGAAACCATAGTGAAAGGAATAGATGTGCCTGAAGTCATAGAGATGAGATAGTGCTTGTCAAACAGAAAGTCATGCCAGGTAGGTTAGGAAATCCATTTGGTAGGTCAGAGCCAAAATTTAAAAATAGAATAGAACAAAAGTGAATAAAATTTTAAAAATCGAATAG